ATTCAGTAACAACATCTAATCTTTTTAAATTTTTAATTTGACCTTGTGTTTAACTGGGAAAAGAGTTCGTTACTAAAACATTATTTGTATAGAAAGATACCATTTGGAGTAAGCACGGTCTTCTTTCTTCCTAAAGCATGCTAGAAAATATACCAAATTGTTTTAAAAATTATTCTTTCATTAACTAATTTATATACAAGATTAAACATTTTAGGAAATCAGAAAGTATCTAATCAAAGGTTAAAGTTATCTAATTAAAGGTTAATGTTATAGTGTATGTTAAAGCACATAGGCCCCCTTCCCCCATCTTTTCTCTTTTCCATCTTTCTTCCCACTAAAAATTGAAAAATTACTCTTCAAAAACTTTCATCCCAGGACTAGCATGTGATGTGGTGGTTTTAAGGTGCTGGTCTGCCACATGACTGACCATAGTTTAAGTCCATACATGGCAGTATGTGTGTAAGTTTGCCTAAAATTCCAAGAGGAGAATGGAGGAGGGATACAAATGTGGCCGTTCTCCAGGAGGATGATTTCTTTCTTTTCCTCTCACTGTCTCTCCAGCAAGTACACATGCCCTATGGCAAAAATCTTAATAAAGACCAGCAAAGCACTTTGTCCCAGGTTAGCAGGTGGAATAGTAGTTAAGGTACTGGACTCCTATGTGTCTGACCATAGTTCCATCCTGAAACATGGCAGCTTGAAAATAAAGTTTGGCACCTGTGCACGTGTGTCCAAAATTCCCAGAGGATAATGGAGGAGGGACTGTGGTGTGCCCAGTCCCCCGGGTGAGGGGTGATGTTTTTTCACTTTCCCTCTCTCTTTCTCTCTCTCTTAGTGAGTGCATACACCCTACAACAAAAACCTAAAAGTTAAAAAATATATATTTTGTGCCCAAGGAAAGAACTATTTGGACTTCTCTTTTTATGCTCAATATTAACACCTAAAATATAATTAATATATTATCGTAAAACAATTAAAAATTATTTAAATATCTCCTAGGAAAAGTTATGTATTGCCAAAGGCTAATGTGTGGTGACTGACAACTGAACATCTGTTTGATCTTCCTTCTCTATTTGTACTTTCTCTCTTGCCAAGTACAATGTATTTCCTACTCTTTGTAAAATATCTTCATTTGTAATGCTAATGTCTTAAGAGTGGTTAGGCAATCAGAATTATTAAACTTCCAGTAAGTGTTCATTGAGTTTAATGTGTCAGATAACTATCAATATTAATTGCTAGATGAAGAAGTTTTCTTGGGACCAACAGTTGGCATAATGGCTATGTCGCTAGACTCCCTTTTAGTTGACCATGGTTCTAGTCCCGGACCTGGTGGCTTAAACTCATGCCAGTTGCATGTGCATGGATGCTCAAGGTCCCGAAAGGTGAATGGAGAAGGGATTGTGACATGGCCATCCAGCCTTGGGGGTGATTTCTCGATTTCTGTGTATCTCTTTCTCTCTCTGTCTTTCTGGGACACATGTGCCCTATAGCAAAAGCCTCTCTAAAACAAACAAACAAAAAAACAGTTTTCTTAATTTAGTAGGTAAATCTGTTTCTAATTTTAACCTTAATTTATTTTACTCCAGATGCCTGAAAGTGGGAAATTTTATATAGAACTTATAGATTGAATTAATTTTATCCTTCTTTTGGTACATTTTTTTTTTGTCTTAATCATTAGGAAAAGAAGTTTTACTATTGATGCAAGCTTTAAACATTCTTTCAACTCCTGAGGAGAAGCTGGCAGCTCTCTGTAAGAAATATGCTGATCTTGTGAGTATTTAAAAAAGGGAAAAAGGCTGATGTAAAATATAGCAAAATGTTTTAGTGGAAAAAATATTTAAATACAATTCTGATACAGTTTCAAATGTATAATTATTTTCATTTCAAAATTTAAAAAAGATGATCTGATTTCTTAGTACATAAAATTGGTTGTATGACTTCATTTTATGATACATACAGTAGTTTATAATGCTGTTTGTGATATGGATTAATAAGATATTTGACAACTCAGTCTGCCTTAGTATTTGTAGATCACTCTTTTCATTTCTTTATTTAGATGCCATTAGATCAAAAGTACTGATTTTTTTTAATTAAAATTTCTAAAGAAAGTCTGGAAACAAAAGGTCTACTTTATTTTTTTTTTCTTTTACTCTCTTTTTTTTTTTTTCTTTTACTCTCCAAAAGCTGTTCATTTGTTTCTCTCAAGTCCATAGCCTTTACATTCTTGGCAGAGTTTATTTATTTATTTATTTATTTGCATTTTATTCATTTATTTATTTACTATATATCACTTTGCTTATAGGTTGAATTTACTCAAATTGAATATGCTACACACCACTCTAGTTAAAGATAGGAAACGTTATCATCAACAGATAATAACCCCTTTCTGTGTTCCATAAATCTGTCTCTCTGTTTTCCTCTTTAATATCTTTCCTTATAATCTCCGCCTTCTCCATCCTTTTCCCACATTGTCTCTAGAATATCTAACCATTGTTAATGCTTGTATGTGCTCTAATCTCTCAGTTTCCAATACAGAGTGGGGACAGTTGGCATATGTTGAGTGGATATATACAATACTTTGCTTTCATAGCCTGGCTTGCTTCACTCAGCAGTAAATCTCCAGTATTTTTCCCCTTTTATCAAATGCCAGAGTCTTGTTTTTTAATAGCAGAATAGTTTTCCATAGAGTATATGTACTGTACTTTTTCAGTTCATTCATCTGTTTGTGGACATTTGGGTTAGTTCCATGTCTTAGTGATTTTTGAATAATGCCAAAGTAAACATAAACTTGCAGTTTTCTGGCTGAGCATTCTTTAATCCCTTGGATAGATAACCAGAAATGGAATTGCTAGATCACGTAGTAGTTCTATTTTTACATCTTTGAGAAACCTCCATATTTTTCTGTTCTTAAGTCTTCCTTCCTAGTTGTCCAGCTCATTTCCCCATCTTTTAATTAGGTTGACTTTTGCGGGGGTTGTGAGGGGAATAATCTACTTGAGTTCCTTGTATATTCTGGTTAATAGTTTCTTATCTAAGGCATAGTTTGCAAATGTATTATCCTATTCCAGCATTGTCTAATCATACTAATTATTTTGTTCATTTGTTGTTGTTGAGCAAAAGCTTTTTAACCTGATATAATCTGACTTTTCTGTTTTGAGGTTACTGCCTGTGCTTTATTTATTTATTTATCTCTTTTTAAGAACTTTTGTCTTGGGACCAGCAGTTAGCATAATGGCTGTGTCGCTGGACTCTCCCATGTAGTCGACTGTGGTTCTCATCCTGGACCCGGTGGCTTAAATCTCACGCCGGGCGCATGTGCGTGCATGCCTAATATCCCAAGAGGAGAATGAAGGAGAAAGGATTGCAGCACGGCCATCCGCCCTGGGGGGTGATTTCTCGCTTTCTGTCTCTCTGTCTCTGTCTGTCTGGTGAGCACACATGCCCTATGGCAAAAACCTCTCCAGAAAAAAAAAGAAATAAAAAAATCTAATGCTGGGTGCATGTGCATGCATGCCCAAGATCCCAAGAGGAGAATGAAGGAGAAAGGATTGCAGCACGGCCATCCGCCCTGGGGGGTGATTTCTCGCTGTCTCTCTGCCTCTGTCTGTTGGGCTAGTGCACATGCCCTTTTGCAAAAACCTCTCCAGAAAATAAAAAAAAGTTGTTTTGCCTGCTGTTTTCTTTCAGAGTTGGCCCTACATTACCTGCCATACTTTTATAGTTTTCAGCCCTAGATTTAGATCTCTAATCCATTTTGAGTTGATTTTTCTTAATGGTGAGTAGTTTCATTGTTCTGCATCTGGATCCCCAGTTTTTCTTTCATCAAGAGGTTTTCTTTTCCAACTGGATTGACTAATGCCTTTTGCCAAAATTCAATTTTGGGGTTATTTCTGGGGTCTCTGTTTCGTTCTCTTGGTCCACATCTCTAATTTTGTGCCAGTACATGCTGTTTTGATTATCATAGTGTTGTTATGTATTGTGAGGTCAGAGAGTGACCTTATTCCACTTGAATTGCACAGTATTGCTTTGTCACTCTGAGGTCTTATGATCCTAGGCAAATTCTGTGATTGTTTTTCTATACCTTTAAAGAATATCTCTTGTAATTTGATTGGGATTGCTTTAAATTTCTAGATTAATTTGGGTAGGATTGTTATTTGAGTATATTAATTCTTCCAATCCAGGAACATAGGATATCTTTCCAGTTTGGTATCATTTTCAACTTCTTTTTTGTTTGTTTGTTTTTCAGTTTTTCTTATAGAGACCTTTGATTCCTTCAGTTAAGTTTATTCCAAGATACCGTGTACATGTGTGTGGGGGGGTGGGGGTCTATTGTAAATGGATTTGCTTTCTACAATTTCACTTCACTCTGTTCACCGTTGGTATATAGAAATGCTATAGTTTTTTGTATGTTGATTTTGTATCCTGCAATTCTCCTGTATTCATTATCATTTCTAGGACTGTTTTTGGTTTTCTTTTGTTTTTATATATGTAATTATATCATCTGCAAACAGAAATAATTTTCACCATTTCTTTTCCTATTTGAATATCTTTTATTTTAGACTCTTATCTGATTACATTGTGCTGGACTTCCCAGTGCAGTACTTGAAGAAATGGAGAAAGTGGGCAGCCTTGTTATGTTCCAGTTTTAGTGGATAGCTTTCAGCTTTTTAACAATCAGTATGATGTTAGTTATGGATTTTTTACATATAGCTTTTATTGTGTTGAGAAATAAAAAAAAATCTTTCTCTGTAGATTTAGTTGAGAATCTTAATCATGGAAGCACCGGTGTTGTATTTTATCAAACACTTTTTCTGTGTTAGTGGTTTTTATCTTTTTTTCGGTTAATATGTGTATCACATTTATGGTTTTGTGTATGTTGAAGCATCCTTGCATTCTTGGAATAAAGCCTACCTGGTTGTGGTGTATAATCTTTTTAATTTACCATTGTATATAATTTGCTAGTATGTTGTTGAGAGTTTTTGTATCTGTATTCATGAGAGATACAGGTCTGTTGTTTCCTTTTTTTCTTAGGTTTTTATCTGTGTTGGAAATGAGAGTAATGGAGGAGGACTTGTATGATGAATTTGGTAGAGTTTTTCCTTTGTTTTTGTTTTTATTTTTATTTTTTTATTTTTGGAGAGGTTTTTGCTATAAGGTGCATGCACTTGCCAGAAAGACAGAGAGAGACAGAGACAAAAAACAAGAAATAACCCCCCAGAGGGGATAGCCATGCTGCAGTCCCTTCTCCTCCATTCTCCTCTTGGGATCTTGGCCACGCACGCACGCACACGCACCTGGCATGAGTTTAAACCACTGGGTCCGGGACCTGAACCGGAGGCACCTACATGGGAGTCCAGCGACATAGCCATTACGCTAACTGCTGGTCCCTCCTTTGTGTTTTTAGAAATAGTTCGACTGGAATTTTAAAGTTTTGTAGAATTTGGGAATGAAACCATCCAAACTAGATACTTCTTGTCAGAAGGTTATTTATCACTGATTTTATTTAAGCTTGTAATTTGTTTATTCAGGATTTCTATGTCTTCCTGATTCATTCTTGGTAGCTTATAGGTGTCCAGAAAGTTTTGTGTCTTATTAGGTTTTCATGTTTGTTGGTAGGTCATTGCTTATAATAATCTCTAATGATCATTTGTATTTCTTTCATATTGTTGTAATACTGTCTGTTTCATTCTGAATTAGATTTATCTGTTTCCTTTCACACTTCTTAGTCTAGCTAATGGTATATTAATGTTTTTTTAATCTTCTCAAGTTTGGTTTAATTTATTTTCTGTATAGTTCATTTATTCTCTATGTAATTTATTTGTGCAAATCTCTATTATTTCATTTCTCCCGGCATTTTGTTGTTGTTGTTTTCAGTTCCCTGAGATGTGTTGTTCAGTTGAGTATTTGCCACCTTTTTACCTTTCTCTTATGTGCACTAATTGCTATTTATGTCCCTGTTTTCACTGTTTTCTTAGTGTTCTGTAGGTTATGAAAACTTGTTATCATTGGTTTTAATGACTCTTTTGATTTTAGTCTTAATTTCTTCAGGAGTAAGTTTTTAGTTTCCATATATTTGTTTTGAGAGGCTCTTTTGCTGTAGGGCACATATGCTCGCCAGAAGGACAGAGAAAGACTGAGAAACAGAAAACAAGAAATCACCTCCCAGAGGGGATAGCCACACCACAATCCCTTATCCTCCATTGTCCTCTCGGGACCTTGGGCACACATGTGCACACGCCTGGTGCATTTACGCCACCAGGTCTGGGACTCAAACTGTGGTTAACTACATGAGAATCCAGCTACGTAGCCATTACACCAACTGCTGGTCCCTATTTTGTGCAGTTTTGAAGGTTTCTTTGTGAAGTTAATTTCAAGTTTAGTTCTGGGAAGATGTTAACTGTCATTTATTGTGCAAGTTTACTTTGGGAAGATGTTAACTGTCATTTATTGTGCACTATCATGCCAATCCTTGAAAAGTTTCATGTTTGATGTGAAAAAATGTTAAACTATTTTGTGGTTGTTGGGTGAAAAGTTATACAGATATCTGTCAAGTCCATTTCCTTTAAGGTATCCTATATTTCTTTGCTCATATTTTATCTTGATTATCTGTCCAAAGAAGATTGTGGAATGTTGAGGTCTCCAGTGATTAGCTTATTGCCATCTATTTCTCACTTTAACTCCAGCAGTCTTTTTTTCATGTGTTTGGGTGCTCTTGAGTTAGGTGCATAGACTTTTAAAAGTGCTGATATTTTCTTTGTGAATTAGTCTTT